AGAATGGGGTCGCTGAGCGACGCATCGGTTTGGTCATAGAGGTCGCTCGCACCTCCATGATCCATGCCGTTGCACCCCATTTTCTGTGGCCGTTCGCTGTGCGCTACGCTTCTCACCAGCTCAACCTGTGGCCGCACCCTCATCAGCCGCAGGTTTCGCCGACCCGTCTTTGGACTGGGTCCCCTGGTGACGCGTCTGCGTTCCACGTCTGGGGCTGCCTTGCTCACGTCCGTGCCTCCGGCACGGACAAGCTCACTGCCCGCACCCTTCCCTGCGTCTTCCTCGGTTTTCCCCTTGACGCGTCCGACTGGCACTTTTACCACCCGCCGTCTCACCGCTTCTTTCACTCTCGTGATGTCACCTTTGACGAGTCCGCCTCCTACTACCGCCGCTTTCCCCACCGTGGTCCCCCGGTTACCCCCCCTCTGTTCCTGGTCACCCCTTCCCCGGTGGTCCCTGCCCCTCCTCCTCCTCCTCCCCGTCCCGCCCCCTCTGGTGTGTCCCACGTCACCCCCCTTCCGTCCGTGGACCCGGTTGAGGAGTCATCTGCCTCTGGTGGCCCTCCTGTGCAGTCCTCGCCGGCCGCCCCTCCCCAGGTGTCCCCTCCCCAGTCCCCTCCTCCACCGCCCCTACCGCTGCTGCAGCCGTCGTCGTCGCCGCCGCCGCCGCCGCCGCCGTCGCCTCCGCCGCCGCCGCCGCCGCCGTCGCAGCCCCCGTTCGCCGACTCTGGGGGTGCTCGTCCCGGTCACCTTGGGGGTGGTCCCTCTGGGGGTGCTGGTGTGGAGAGTGCCGGTGGTCGCCGAGGAGCAGCTTGCGGTCCAGGTGTCGCCGTTGTGCCGCCGCAGCAGCGGTCCCCGCCGGTGTACGCCCTTCGCCTGCTCGGCCTTCCGTCCCCCGACCCTGCGTCGGTTCCTCCCCGACCGTCTCCTCCTCTTCCTGTCTACGGCCCTGTTTTCCCTCCGCCGGACTCGTCCCCGGCTCGTCTCCCCCCTCGTTCCCCTCCTGTGTCCCCTCCCCTGTCTCCTGACCCGACTCCTCCGTCGCACGTCTGGTCTCACCGCCCCTCCCGTGCTCGTCCTGCCTCGCCTGTCTTGCGCTCCCACCCTATGTTGCTTCGTTCCCACGCGTCTCGTCCTCCCCTTCTCCCGTCGCCTCCTCCGTCCTCCCTTGTTGTTGCGCCCCCCCCGCTGTCCGACTACCTTCGTGCGCTCGTCCTCTCGTCCCTCGGGTCCTTGCCTCTCTCGTTACCGACCCGTCTGTTCCGGTCTCGTGCCTTGACGCTCTTGTCGCTGCTGTCGCTGACTTTGCCTCTACCCGCCGCCTTGACTACGCCACCGCTCTGGTCTCTGACCCTGCCTGTCCTCCGTCTGTCGGGGGTGCTCCTGCCCTTGGCAGTGACGTCCTGGAGGACCGCCAGTTCGAGCTTGCTTTCCTGTCTGAGGCTGCTCCCCATCTCTGTTCCATGCTGCTAGTCCCTGAGGGTGACCCAGACGCTTTCGACATCCCGACCCCTTGCACTTACGCTGAGGCGACTTCGGGACCCTGGGCCTCACAGTGGATAGCTGCCATGGAGCAGGAGATGGCATCTTGGAGATCCACCGGCACCTTCGTCGACGCAGTTCCCCCACCTGGGGTGAACGTAGTCGATGGCCGCTGGCTCTTCAAGGTGAAGCGCCCTCCTGGAGAGCCGCCTGTCTTCAAGGCGCGCTATGTTGCTAGAGGCTTCAGTCAGCGCGAGGGGGTGGACTTCTTCCAGACTTTCGCTCCGACCCCGAAGATGACTACTCTTCGGGTTCTGTTACACGTAGCTGCTCAGCGTGACTACGAGCTTCACTCCCTCGACTTCTCCACTGCCTTCCTTCAGGGCAGCCTACACGAGCAGGTCTACCTGCGTCGCCCTCCGGGCTTTACTGGCACCTTCCCTCCTGGGACCCAGTGGCTCCTGCGGCGCCCCGTCTACGGCCTGCGCCAGGCTCCCCGTGAGTGGCACGACACTCTTCGTGCTACCCTTGCTGACCTGCAGTTCTTTCCGTCTTCCGCAGACCCTTCACTCTTCGTTCGTGCTGGCCAGACTCCGTTCTACATCCTTGTTTACGTCGACGACCTGGTCTTTGCCACGGCAGACAGGGACGCACTGGCCTCCGTGAAGGCAGAGCTGCTGAAGAGACACAAGGCACTGACCTTGGAGAACTGCGCCGTTACCTTGGCTTGCAGATCTCCAGGGACAGAGCTGCGCGCACCATCACCCTGACTCAGTCACACTTGGTACGCCAGGTCCTTCAGAGGTTCAGCCTTCAGTTCTCCTCTGCACAGCCCACCCCTCTGCCTGTAGACCACAGACTCTCCGCTCCAGTACCTGAGGAGGTGGTAGAGCCCAGTGGCCCCTACGCAGAGCTCGTGGGTTGCCTCATGTACCTGATGACTTGCACTCGCCCTGATCTCGCATACCCTCTCAGCATCCTGGCGCGCTTTGTGGCCACAGGCAGACACCGACCGCAGCACTGGTCTGCCGCTAAGAGGGTTTTGCGTTATCTTGCTAGTACATCGGGCATGGGGTTAGTGCTTGGAGGACGCAGGCCAGTGGTCCTTACTGGACACACAGACGCTTCGTGGGCAGACGACGCTGAGACACTCAGGTCTACCCAGGGCTACTGCTTCAGCCTTGGCTCAGGTGCCGTCTCGTGGAGAGCTACTCGCTCCTCGTCTGTTGCACAGTCCAGCTGTGAGGCTGAGATCTACGCTGGTGCCATGGCGGCACAGGAGCTCCGCTGGCTGACCTTCTTGCTCACTGACTTAGGTGAGCGGCCTAGCTCTGCCCCGGTCCTGTTCGCTGACAACAGGGCCATGATCCTCCTGTGTCAGGAGCCTCGACTCGAGGGCAGAGCAAAGCACATTCACCTGCGGTACTTCCTCCTGCGTGAGCTACAGCAGCGACGTCAGGCTCGCGTAGTACACTTGGCCTCAGGTGCCAACACAGCTGATATCTTTACGAAGGCGCTTGCACCTAAAGATCATCAGCGGCACTGTGTACAGCTTGGTCTAGTTCCTGTCGCTTCTCACTTGCTAGGACCTTGACTTGTACTGTCCTTGATATGTATACTCAGACTGGACTTGTGTCCTCTCCCAGTGGCTGGACTAGTAGTGCCGCCCTGGTCTTGTTCTTGCCTTGTCTGTACTCCTTCTGACTGGTCTTTTAGACCCTTGTCTCAGAGGTTGGACTAGTAGTGCCGCCCTGAGCTGCTTGTTTAGGGTATTCCCCTATGCAGTCTAGGGGGTGTGTCAAACATCTGCATTTGTCATGTTTGTATAGACTGTATAGGGTTACCTCTTAGAGGGTACAACACTTAGGTATATTTGTGTGTACTCTCACTTTACCATCAATTCAATTTTCAATTATGATAGCTAGCCCCCTCGTGCCGCCCGTAGCCGCCAGGCGCCTGTAGCCGCTGGCCGCTTGTACGTGCCAGCCGCCCGTCGCCAGCCCCGTGCCCGCCAGCCCTGTCGCTCGCTGGCCCCGCGCTCGCCAGCCCGGCGCTCGCCAGCCCCGTCGCTCGCTGGCCTCCTGCTCGCCAGCCCCGTCGCTCGCTGCCTCATAGCTCGCTGGCCCTGCGCGCGCCAGCCCCGCGCCTGCTGGCCCGTCGCTCTCTGGCCCTCCCGTCGCCAGCTCCGCCCTCGCCAGCCCCGTGCTAGCTGGCCCGTCGCTCGCCGGCCCCTGCGCTCGCTAGCCCCACGCCCGCCAGCCCTGCGCGCGCTGGCCCTGCGCTCGCTGGCTCCGTGCTCGCCAGCCCCGCGCTCGCTGGCCCTGCGCTCGCTGGCCCCATGCTCGCCAGCCCCGCAGGCTCTGGCCCTGTGCTCGCTAGCCCCTCGCTCGCTGGCCCCGTGCTTGCCAGCCCCGCGCCTGCTGGCCCCGCCTTCGCCGGCCCCTCGCTCGCCAGCCCCGCGTCCGCAAGCCGTCGTGCCGCCGAGCCGCCGCGCCTCCGAGCTGCAGTGCCGCCGTGACACCGTGTCGCCGAGCCGCCGCGCCGTCGGGCAGCCGTGCTGCAGTGCCGTCGTGACGCCGTGTCGCTGCGCCCCCGACCTGCCAGCCTTGGCTCCCCTCTCAGCCGGCGCTCCCGCCGGCAGTTTCCACCGCTCTCCACCGCTCCCCACCGCTCTCCACCGATCACCACCGCTCCCCTCCAGCGGCTGTCAGCTGCTGCAGCTATGGCGATGGCAGACGGTGTGCTTCGCATGGAGGGACGGGCCATTGAGTTTGAGGCGTGGCTCGTTGACCTCTGCCGCCAGCTGACCGGGCAGCGCCAGGACGGCCACTCCCTGGCCGTCCACGTCGACGGTAGGCTCCCACGCCCTGCCCCGCCTGCTGCCCTCCCTGACGCCCCCATGTCTGCTGAGAGTAAGGCATTTGTCGCGACGCTGTTGCTCAGCTTGCCATTAACCACGCCCTCCCCCTGTCCGAGCGTCCCCTCTTTACCGCTGTAGCGAACGCCAAGGACTACTTAGATGCTGTCATCGCGCGTTATTCCACCCCCACCTCAGCCTCTACATGCTGCCTTATCCTCCTCCTACTGTTCCCTGACCTTGCATCCTTCCCCACTGTCACTGACCTTGCCTCGCACCTTCGCGCACTGGAGACTAGCTACCGCACCGCTAGCACTGAGGCACAGCTCACTGCCTTCCCGCCGCCGCTCTGCACTACCCTTTACCTCATTGTCATGCGCCTGCTTGACCGCCTAGCCACTGCCCGCGACCACTTCCTTAGTCAGCACCCAGGTAACCTCACCCTCCCTGCCTTTGTTACCACCCTATCCGCGATAGAGACCCGCCAGCGCACTATCGCTCAGTCTAGCGGTACTGCGGCGGTCCCTATCTTCCAGGGCTGTGCTCCATCCCAGTGCACTTATCTGACATTTCTGCCGCTGTCACTAAGACAGCCCCTTGCTCCTGAGACCGCCGCCGCGGCCTCAGCGCAGCAACCTCTGGCTAGGGGCCGCCGCCCCAAGGGGGGCATGGCGGAGGGAAGGGTGGTGGGGGTGGTAGAGGTGGGGGCGAGGACAATGGTGCAGACGAGGGGACTGGGGCTGGTGCCCCGGAGCAGCAGCAGCCTCAACAGCCGCAGCAGCAGCCTCAACAGCCGCAGCAGCAGCAGCCTCAACAGCAGCAGTCGCAGCAGCAGCAGCAGCAGTCGCAGCAGCAGCAGCAGCAGCAGTCGCAGCAGCAGCAGCAGTCGCCATGGGGACCCCCGCCACCGTGGTGGCCTGGTGGTGCTGGTGGAGGTGGTGGGCCGCGCAGCTCGGTGTCAGGTGACGGCTCCAGTGTGGCCACATGCCAGTATCAGCTTCAGACCGGCCCCCACCGCGGCACCGTCTGTGACCGTCCCGGGCACATCGCCGCCCGCTGCTACCGCCATTTGGACGACCACTTCCGTCTCCGCTTCGGCTCCACGGAGGACCCCCTCGACTGGTACAACCTGGTGCATCGTCGTATCCCCTGTGTGTAGTCTAGGTTCCCCTATTGCATCAGGCATAGGATCCCCTGCATTGTTTAGCCTAGGCTCAATCCTAGCCCCTCCGCCGGCTGACGCCACTGCTTCACTCTCTTTCACGCTCGACTCTAGAGCGTCTGCCTGTAGCTCCACCACCCTTCCTTGTCCGGCAGTCCCTTTGGGTTCTCTTGCAGGCCTGCACATCCTCTCGTTCTTTAGAAACCTAGTTGGTGTCGGCTGTCTCCAGGACCTCAGCGTCACCACTACGTTCCCCGAACACGAGCGGTACGCGGTCTGTACCGAGGCCGCCATTGTTGCCCATCTCACCACGTCCCTCCTCGACCCTATGACTGGCCTGTTTGCGCTTGACACTGCGTCCCCCCCAATGAAGCGTTCCCCCAGGTACCTGCGTCGACACAGGTCGCTGCGGCTTGCTCGTGTCGGTCGCTCACTCACCTGTCGCTTTTGTGGCACCACTGCCTAGGTCACCCCGCACTCCCCCGTCTGCGTCACATGTCTCACCATGGTCTTGTCTTCGCTCTCCTTCGCTTTACCACTATAGCGAACGCCAAAGAATTCTTAGATGTCGTCATCGCGCGCAATTCCACCCCAGCCTCCACCTCTGCTGGCAGTCTGATCCTCCCCATGTTGTTCCCTGATCTTACGTTATTCCCCACTGTCGCCAATCTTGCCACTCACCTCCGCACACTAGAGTCTAGCTACCACTCCGCTAGCACTAAGGCTCGGCTCACTACCTTCCCGCCGCCGCTTTGCGCTACCCTTTACCTCATTGTCACACGCCTTTCTGACTGCCTAGCCACTGCCCGTGACCACTTCCTTAGTCAGCACCCTGGTGACCTCACCCTCATCACCTTTGTCACCGCCCTGTCTGCGATAGAGACCCGCCAGCGCACTATCGCTCTGTCTAGCGGTACTGCGCCGGTCCCTATCTTTCAGGGTTGTGCTCCCTCCCAGTGCACTTACTCTGACTTCTCTGTCGCTGTTGCTGAGGCCGCCGCAGCGGCCTCAGTGCAGCCGCGTCCGGGAAGGGGCCGCTGCCACAAGGAGGGGCGTGGTGGAGGGAAGGGTGGTGGGGTTGAGGAAAGTGAATCCGACGAGGGGACCGGGGCTGGTGCCCCGGAGCAGCAGCAGCCGCAGCCTTAGCAGCAGCTGCAGCAGCAGTCGCCGCAGCAGCAGCAATCGCCATGGGGACCCCCGCCACCTTGGTGGACTGGCGATGCTGGTGACGGTGGTCGTGGTGGTGGCAGGCACAGCTCGGTATCAGGTGGCGGCTCCAATGCGGTCACCTGTCAGTACCAGCTTCAGACCGGCCCTCACCGCGGCACCGTCTGCGACCGTCCCAGTCACACCACTGCCCACTGCTACCGCCACCTGGACGACCTTTTCCGCCACCGCTTTGGTCGCACTGAGACCCTCATGACTGGTACGCCCTGGCTTGCCGTCGTGTGCCTGTCTTTGTGCTAGACATGGATCAGATTAAGACTGCCATGTCTGTTATGTATGCTGATGACTCTAGTGTGATTGGACCATATCTCCTGGTGTTGCCTAGCATAGGTGTGTCCTTTGTGTGTAGTCTAGGCTCCCCTGCTGCGTCAGGCGTAGGACCCTCTGCATTGTTTAGCCTAGGCTCTATGCTCGCCTCTCCACCGGCTGATGCTACTGCGTCGCTCTCCTTTACGCTCGACTCTAAAGTGTCCGACTGTTTCTTTCGCGACCACACTGTGCTCACGCCATTTGCTGCCCCCCCCGCAGTAGCGTTTGCTGAACCCTCCTCTGGTCCGATAGTGGCCCGTAGCTCCACTACCCTCCCCTGTCCGGCGGTCCCCTCGGGCTCTCTTACAGGCCTGCACATCCCCTCGTTCTCTAGGAACCTAGTTGGTGTCGGCTGTCTTCAGGATCTAGGCGTCACCAAAACGTTCCCCGGACACGAGCGGTACGCTGTTGTACCGAGGCCGCCACTGGTGCCCCTCTGACCACTTTCTCCCGGGACCCTGTGTCTAGCCTGTTTTTGCTTGACACTGCATCCCCCTCGGGGAGGGCGCCCCCCCAGATGCCTGCGGCAACCCAGGTTGCCGCGGCTTGCTCGTGTCGGTCGCTCACTCACCCTTCGCTGCTGTGGCACCACCGCCCAAGTCACCCCGTACTCCCGGGTCTGTGTCACATATCCCATCATGGTCTGGTCTCTCCCTCGCCTGCGCCGCCGTGTATGCCTTGCATCGAGGGCCGGCTGCGCAATGCTCCTCACTCCTCCTCGTTCCCCCCTACAACTGCGCCACTCCAGAACTTGCACTTGGACGTGTGGGGCCCAGCCCCCGTCCCTGGGCTGTGTCGCAAGAGCAATGCTTTCTAGTGCTTGTCAATGACTACACATGCTACACCATGATGTTTCCCCTGTAGCGGAAGGCTGAAGTGCCTGAAATTCTTATCTCGTGGGTCGTAGCTGCGCGAGTCCACCTCGGCCTCCCAGTGCTTCGTCTCCACTCCTACCTTGGCGGCGAGTTTGCCTCCGGTCGACTTGGCCAAATTTGTCGTGCGGAGGGCATCACCCAGTCGTACACCCTACTGAACTCCCCACAGCAGAATGAGGTCGCTGAGCGACGCATCGTTTTGGTCATATAGGTCGCTCGTACCTCCTTGATCCATGCCGGTGCACCCCATTTTCTATGGCCGTTCGCTGTTCGCTACGCCGCTCACCAGCTTACCCTGTGGCCGCAATCCCAGTGGCCGCAGGTTTCGCCCACCCTTCTTTGGGCCGGGCTCCCTGGTGACGCGTCTGCGTTTCATCTCTCGGGCTGCCTTGCTCACGTTCGTGCCTCTGGCACGGACAAGCTCATTGCCCGCATTATCCCTTGTGTCTTCCTTGGTTTCCCCCTTGATGCGTCTAATTGGCACTTCTACATTGGCCTCCGTGAAGGCTGAGCTACTGAGGAAACACACTTGCACTGACCTAGGAGAACTGCGCTGTTACCTTGGCCTGTAGATCTCCCGGGACAGAACAGCGCGCACCATCACTCGAACACAGTCACACTTGGTGCGCCAGGTCCTTCTGAGGTTTGGTCTTCAGTTCTCCTCCGCACAGCCCACACCTCTGCCAATAGCTGACATGCTCTTGGCTCATGTCCCTGAGGAGTCTGAAGAGCTTAGTGGTCCTTACGTTGAGCTGGTGGGTTGCCTCATGTACCTTATGACTTGCACTCACCCAGATCTCGCATACCCTCTCAGCATCCTGGCTCGCTTTGTGGCCACAGGCAGACACCGACCACAGCACTGGTCGGCCGCTAAGAGGGTTTTGCGTTATCTAGCAAGTACATCGGGCATGGGCCTAGTGCTAGGAGGACACAGGCCAGTGGTCTTTATAGGGCACACAGACGCTTCGTGGGTAGATGACGCTAAGACGCTCAGGTCCTCCTAGGGCTACTACTTTAGCCTTGGTGCAGGCGCCATCTCGTAGAGGTCCACCCGCTCGTCGTCTGTTGCCCAGTCTAGCTGTGAGGCTGAGATTTACGCTGGTGCCATGGCGGTAGAGGAGCTCCGCTAACTGACTTTCTTGCTCACAGACTTAGGTGAGCGGCCTAGCTCTGCCCCGGTCCTGTATGCTGACAACAGGGCCATGATCCTCTAGTGTCACGAGCCTCGACTTGAGGGCAGAGCGAAGCACATCCAGCTGCAATACTTCCTCTTGCGCGAGCTACAGCAGCGACGCCGAGCCCGCGTAGTGTACTTGGCCTCCGATGCCAACACGTTTGATATCTTTACGAAGGCGCTTGCGCCTAAAGATTATTTGCGGCACTGTGTACAGCTTGGTCTAGTTCCTGTAGCTTCACATTTGCTAGGACCTTGATTGTGTACTTCTTTTACTGTATATTGTCTTGACTGGCCTTGTGGCTTTTGTCCCAGTGGCTGGGCTAGTAGTACCGCCCTGAGTTGCTCTTGTTTAGTCTGTACTCTTGCTGACTGGTCTTCGATCCCTTGCCTCAGAGGTTGGAATTGTAGTGCCACCCTGAGCAGTGTGTCTCTAGCCAGGCACTACCCCTCATCTAGGCTAGGGGGTGTGTGAAAACATATATATATATATATATATATATCTTATAGGCTAGATAGGTGCGTAATCTTAAAGAGTACAACCCCTTAGCACAAAAGCACCTTGTATCTCTCATTCTAGTCATTCATTCTCACTTTATGCCCCTCTAGTGACGAATAATCGCAAGGGAGATTCTTGAAATGGAATATGATGCACTATATGATCGCATACAGCTCATTGTTCGAGGTTTAGCGACCTTTCCATTTCCATGTTGATTTGAACAAACAAATCGTTTGCCTTATAAGCATTTTGCTTGAAATCCAACTCTATGCCTATGTCAATTTGCTCAATAACTTCTATCGGTTTGACATATGTACCTAAATCATCATCCTCCATATCGGCTTCCTTAAACGCATCTGCCCAGCAATCTGTTCTATATGTATATTCTAGTTCTTTTTGCGTGATGGATCTCTAGTTAGCATTATAAATGTTGAATGCTAAAATGCTATCATTAGGTTCCTCCTTAAAATGATGAAACAACAAACTCGCTCTCTAAAATTATTTGCACAATCTTGTTGTACATGATAGTTTACAAATCGAATACCCTTACTCTTCTTCCGCTAACAGTAGTATCTTCTACCATCTATTAGATTAGGAGCAAATACGCATGTGCCAATTATATTATCTTTATGGTGTGGTGTTAGTTTCTACATGGAAGCAAAATCTGCTAAACATGTGTGCTCTAAAGAGTGTGGCCGGTATCTTATCACTCAAGTATGGCATATGGCACGTATACGTCCATTTTTCAGGGTCTAACATTGCGAGCTCACTTTTAGGTTTTAAAGATAATAATCGCTTAGTAGGTGGCGCGGTATTTATAAAGACGTCCTGTCGAGTCAACATTCGATATTGTAAACTCAAAAGTAAATAACAAGCTTCTTGAGCATTGATCTCTTAAGAATTCAGCATTGCAATTCCAATGAGGCGTAGTATTCTCTTTATGCCAACCCTGTCTTGACAAGCTTTAGTTAAAATCCTTTGCATCATAATACTCATACCTTTGTTTGATTTAGTCAAATAAAATACTATATACGCTGCAACGGTGTATGGGTCATTACATAATTGCACATCCATATTACCCTTCCATGATTTTAATAACACGGGAGTATAATTGTTTACGTAAATATCGCAAACTCGCCTTCGTAACAACAATGTGTCTCATTTTAAAGTAAACTGGATTGTACAAATGTAATCATTATACAATATTCTAACATCTAAGAAGAACTTGTCGAACGTAATGGTTGAACTTATCAAACTGAGAGAACTGAATGATGACTAGTGGGAGAGTGCAGATAGATATACCTAAGTAATGTACCCTCTAAGAGGTGACCCTATACAGTCTATGCAAACATAACAACTACACATGTTTGACACACCCCCTAGACTGTATAGGGGAATGTCCTGAACAAGCAGCTCAGGGCGGCACTACTAGTCCAACCTCTGAGACAAGGGTCTAAAAGACCAGTCACAAGGAGTACAGACAAGGCAAGAACAAGACCAGGGCGGCACTACTAGTCCAGCCACTGGGAGAGGACACAAGTCCAGTCTGAGTATACATATAAAGGACAGTACAAAGTCAAGGCCCTAGCAAGTGAGAGGCTACAGGAACTAGACCAAGCTGTACACAGTGCCGCTGATGATCTTTAGGCGCAAGCGCCTTCGTAAAGATATCAGCTGTGTTGGCACCTGAGGCCAAGTGTACTACGCGAGCCAGGCGTCGCTGCTGTAGCTCACGCGGGAGGAAGTACCGCAGCTGAATATGCTTCGCTCTGCCCTCGAGTCGAGGCTCCTGACACAGGAGGATCATGGCCCTGTTGTTAGCGTACAGGACCGGGGCAGAGCTAGGCCGCTCACCTAAGTCAGTGAGCAAGAAGGTCAGCCAGCGGAGCTCCTGTGCCGCCATGGCACCAGCGTAGATCTCAGCCTCACAGCTAGACTGGGCAACAGACGAGGAGCGGGTAGCTCTCCACGAGATGGCACCTGAGCCAAGGCTGAAACAGTAGCCCTGGATAGACCTGAGTGTCTCGGCGTCGTCTGCCCACGAAGCGTCTGTGTGTCTAGTAAGGACCACTGGCCTGCGTCCTCCTAGCACTAACCCCATGCCCGATGTACTAGCAAGATAACACAAAACCCTCTTAGCGGCAGACCAGTGCTACGGTCGGTGTCTGCCAGTGGCCACAAAGCGAGCCAGGATGCTGAGAGGGTATGCGAGATCTGGGCGAGTGCAAGTCATCAGGTACATGAGGCAACCCACCAGTTCTGCGTAGGGGCCGCTGGGCTCTACCGACTCCGCAAACACTGGAGCGGAGAGTTTGTGGTCTACAGGCAGAGGGGTGGGCTGTGCAGAGGAGAACTGAATGCTGAACCTCTGAAGGACCTGGCGCACCAAGTGTGACTGAGTCAGGGTGATGGTGCGCGATGCTCTGTCCCTGGACATCTGCAAGCCAAGGTAGCGGCACAGTTCTCCAAGGTCAGTGCACGTGTGTCTCTTCAGCAGCTCTGCCTTCACGGAGGCCAGTGCATCCCTGTCTGCTATGGCAAAGACCAGGTCGTCGACGTAAACAAGGATGTAGAACGGAGTCTGGCCAGCACGAACGAAGAGTGAGGGGTCTGCGGAAGACGGAAAGAACTGCAGGTCAGCAAGCATAGCACGGAGAGTGTCGTGCCACTCACGGGGAGCCTGGCGCAGGCCGTAGA